ATATAACCACTGTAAATGTCTCCTATTGCTTTGCCACATTAATTTTTTCCAAATGAATGGCTCAGTTGTCACTCATCTTTAATGCTTCTTGACCTCCTTTTTTTTAATTAATGCGCATTCAGCAGAACAGAAGGCATCTGCAGAGAGCTAAAAAAAAAAAAAGCGAATTCAAGCAGAGATTTTACTTGATTGTTTCTTCAATTAAGAGCTTCAGCCTCCTTTACCTAGGCCAGACATGTCAAACACAAGGCCCAGGGGCCGGATGCGGTCTGTGAAGTGGTTTCATATGGCCCGCGAAGCCATCCTGGAAACAGTGAGGGAACGGCCTCCATTGCCTTGGCCCTGGCCCAGGCTGGCTGGGAGCCAATGTACAATTTTGTGGTGGCCATCTATGCTGAAATACATTCAGTCTTAGCTCCACAAGACCGTCCGGAAACAGCAAGGAACCAGCCCCTGCCGCGTCGGCCCCGCCCCCTGGGTGCATGCTGGGGAGGTGTCACCCTTTGTGAAGAATGAAGAAATGGACCATGCCTTGGCATTTGCCCCGGTCCCACCCCCTTCTGCCAGAGACCCTCAGATCTGTCCCACTCCTGCCCAGGCTCCCACAGGCACCCTTGACGTGAACGATGAAGAGCTGGCCATGCCCACCCAGTAGGCCACACCCACTCCATCCACGCCCACCCAGTAGGCCACACCCACTCTGGCTACACCCACCCAGCCCCCCGAGGGCAACCGCAATGCTGATGCGGCCCTCAATGAAATTGAGTTTGACACCCCTGACCTAGGCAATGCTTCTGTTAAGGAGATTTTCTTTACTCTTTATATCAGCCAAGATTATTTTTTTTCTCCTAGATTTCAATAGAGCCCCTATTCAGCCAACTCACAGAGATAACCTATTGATAGAGATGGATGGTAATTTTGAGGCAAAGGTTCAGAAATTGCTTTTTAAAACCCCCACTGCTGAATTTTCCTTCCCTAACTTCTCTTTTCAACTACACTAACTCCCACTGTGGCCAAGGGAAAGCAACAAACTGCACCCCCTGTTGTGCCAACAGATCTGATCTGGAAGCTCTTGACCTTGCATGGATTCTCAATTACTTGTTAAGACTATTTGCCTCTTCTTTTTGAAAGTAGCAGCAGCTCCTGGACCATCACCGGTGCCTTACAGCCTCTTTTGGCTGCCCTTCTCAGTGACCCAATAACCGTGTCACTATGGAAGGTGCACAAGTCTACCCTTGCTTAGAAATTTTAAGGAAAGTAGCTAAATAATTTAAGAAGTCATTTAAATGCAAAACTGAATCCAGCTTCTTTGGTCATTTGCATTCACTTATTTTCTTACATTGTCTCAAAAGTTATAATAATAATAATAATAATAATAATAATAATAATAATAATAATAATAATAATAATAATAATAATAATAATAATAAAGTTGGAAGGGACCTTGGAGGTCATCTAGTCCAACCCCCTGCTCAGGCAGGAAATCATATACCATTTCAGACAAACGGCTGTCCAGTCTCTTCTTAAAAACTTCCAGTGTTGGAACATTCACCGCTTCTGGAGGCAGGTTGTTCCACTGGTTAATTGTTCTAACTGTCAGGAAGTTTCTCCTTAGTTCTAGGTTGCTTCTCTCCTTGATCAGTTTCCATCTGTTGCTTCATGTCCTGCCTTCAGGTGCTTCGGAGGATAGCTTGACTCCCTCTTCTTTGTGGCAGCCCCTGAGATATTGGAACACTGCTATCATGTCACCCCTCGTCCTTCTCTTCATTAAACTAGACATACCCAATTCCAGAAGTTGCCAGTAGCTTCCTTCTCATCCCTTCCCTGTTGCACTTCCCTTTTTTAGACATGAACAGAAGATGTGAATCACTGAAATGCAGCCTGGGTGTTTGACAACTTGACCAAAAGACACCTTGCAGAAAGGAAAACAGAATCACTTTTTTGGGGGAAAAAATCACTTTGCTGACTGAAGAAACTATACACAGGTAGCTCTCAACTTACAACCGTTTGTTTAGTGACCGTTCAAAGTTAAAACAGCACTGAAAAAAGCGACTTATGACCGTTTTTCAAACTTATGATGTAGCAGCATCCCCACGGTCATGTGATCAAAATTCAGATGCTTGGCAACTGATTCATATTTATGACGGTCGCAGTGTCTCATGTGAGGGGGGCATGTGATCACCTTTTCCCACCTTCTGACAAGCAAAGTCAATAGGGAAGCCAGATTCACTTAACAACCGGGTCACGAACAACTGCAGTGACTCACTTAACAACTGTGGCAAGAAACGTGGTAAAATGGGGGGCAAAAGCCACTTAATAAATGCTTTGCTTAGTAACAGAAATGTTGGGCTCAATTGTGCTCGTTAAGCCGAGGACTACCGGTATTGCATATCTTATTCCCAAACAGATGTCATCACACCAAACTAGAGTCCTGAGGGTCTAACTAAATCTTGTGCTCTGGCTGGCTAAGTGCTTGTTGGACTAGTTATGGATTCCACAACATCTTCAGTAGGAAGTCATTTAGTGCAAAGGGGCAAAAGATTAAATGGAGAAATAAATGTTGGGATAATGTTACGTGCAGCTAGTGTTCTCTGAAAACATTCAGCCCTGAAGATCAGTTAGTTAAATCACACTGCCCTAGATATTTGTGAACAATCTTTTTTTGCAATGGAGAAATAATATTGTATTTCCCTCAAGAATGACTGAGGATAAACAAATTGAAAAACTCTTACGTCACTTAACCATCATTGATAGTATTTTGTAATTCTTTCCGCAGGGGATTGGACTAGAAGACCGCCAAGGTCCCTTCCAATTCTGTTATTCAAATTAATCAGCTGGCTTAAAATATACTTTGAATTTCTTACACATCAGCATTAAGTTTATTTATTTATTTAGCATATGGCAAAAAACATTTAAGACTTCGCTGTTTTGCACCGATAGTAAACTGGATTATTTCACAGTAACACTGCCTGTGTTACTGACAAAACCTTGCCATGCATACCTAATTATTATTTAAATAATTTTATTTCCTAGCTACACCTTATATGTGTGTCTCTAATAAAATGTTCCAGATAAGAGTCAGCAACTTTTATATAATATAAAAAGGGAAGTGGGGAATATTATTTTAATTTTGTATCATTTTTTAATTTCTTTTCTATTGTGTTATTTCCTGTAAGTTGCCTTGAGTTACCTGTGAGCTAGTAGGCGGCAATATAAATTTTCCAAATAAAATAAATATCCTTAAATCTCCTGCAAACGTGTGGACAGCAATCTCAAAAATCAGCCACAATATTGAAATGAGATGGTCAGAGGTTTTGGACATGTAAAATGGTTTTTGGTAACTTTTGGGAAGACTATTGGCTGGGCAACGAGTACATCAGCCTGTTTTTAAGAAGAGACTGGACGGCCATTTGTCTGAAATGGTATAGGGTTTCCTGCCTGAGCAGGGGGTTGGACCTGATGACCTCCAAGGTCCCTTCCAACTTTATTATTATTATTATATTATTGTTGTTGTTGTTGTTGTTAGTTATTGTTTGGTTATTGTTATTGTTATTATTAAATGGTACTTAGTTACATACTAAAATTAGGGATTTATGGAGATAATGCAGGCAGCTTGCTGAGTTTTCTTATAAGAAAAATGACAGATCGACCTTAGAAGACAGCACAAATGTACACTGAAGAGGACAGTGATATGAGCCTTCCTTTAATGCTCAGCTAAATTGTAATGTTCTTCACTGGAACACCTTATATGATAAGGTTTGGCGGATGTCTACAATAATGCTAAAATCTATACAAATGTACTGCAACCTTCAGAATACGTTCTAATTCTACAATTCAAAAATTGCAGATTTCTGTACATCCACACGTTTTTTCCAAACTATTTCTTCTGTAAGCATGACTTTTTATTGAACCTCAAATTGGTATGGTGTTTTGCTCTGATTGTAGTTAATATCTTCTGCTTCTTTATAAAAATAATTATTTACATGGCAGAGACATTTCGCTTTTTCCCCGTCTTGTCTCACCTCTCACAAAAAGGCCTAAGCTATTGCATACGAATCTTTTCTTATGCTATGAAATACAATTAAACAGAATCATCCTTTTGAGCTCCACTAAAGTATTGCAAAAGTTAGAGCATCTGCATTCACAGGAAAGAGTTGCCCTATAATTTTCGTCCTTGACTGTGGAAGTTGCAGTGCTTCTCAGGGTTTTTAGAAGCATCTTCCACATTCTTCAATGTGAGACACAAAAGACAAGTATAGAAGTATACGCTGCAGGATACTCAACACAATTTAAGCAGCAGCTAATGAACGAAGAAAGGAAGAGACGGGTACATGCTTAGTAGACTTTCTGTGGGAATTTTATTCTATGGGATATATTCTATGGATTTTCCAAAGACTCTGAAATTATATGAAAAGGATCAGGGAAACAAATGACATGGAGATGATGATGATGCATTAGATTTAAAGAAGACAGGATTCCTGCACGATTTGAAACCATTATGATTAAATATCAATCATTACCTATCAGCATGTCCTACCTCACAGATTATGAAAAGAAAATGAGATATCTTTTACCATGAACTTCCAGAAGGTAGGGTGTGTGTGTGTGTGTGTGTGTGTATACACACACACACACACACACACAAGCAAAACTTTCTGAAGGCTGCTAAGTGATCAATATTGAACTTTTTTTTTTCAGTCCGAGGTTATAAATCTGCTTTCCCTCAAATACCTCCACTAGATAACACTTTGGCACTTACATAGCAGCTTACATATTATCACCCTTTAATAATAAAATGGTTATCACAACCTATGCACATTATCTTTTTTTTTTGTTCAAAATATTTTACAAAGTAAAGATACAATAATATTTTCTTTCAAAAATATGTTAAGTGAAAGGAAAAGCAATTTTTTTTAGCTCATGATCTGGTAGGCAACACTTGGGTTTTAATATGGATTTAAAAGACATTTACAACCTTTGATGTGACTTTTACATTTTTTTTTATTTAATCCATGGAAAGCTGGAGCCAGATAATACCACCAATCTTATTTTTTTCATATATTAACAGTAATGACATTTTAAGAAAACCAAAGCCAGGCTGCAATTTAAAAAAAAAAATAGCCATAATTTATTATCTTAACTTTTAATCATGTTTTTCCTGTGCCTGGGGTATGTTTAAGGTATTACTAATGAGGTTTCTTCTGGAAGTGTACGATGGGTGTTTTAATCTGAACTTTGGGAGAATATTACCATTTGAAGCATATATTTGCTTACCTTCTTTACCCAAGATAGTCCGAAAAGCTTTATTCTGTGACAAAACTTTATCGTAGAATTCCACCCCACCTCTAGCAAAACTGGGAGAAATGGAAGCTGCCTTTCTGTCTGTCCTATAATCGAATGCCTGGCTTACGGTATCATATAACAGACAATAGCCCATCAGCCCAACTGCCACAACTGCCATGTTGTAAATGCTTCGAAGTAGTACTGGAGCATAATATAAACCCAAGACCTGCTTTACAGTTACTCCAGAAATATAGGACCCAGCCAGACAAATGGGACCAAGTGTTGCACATATCAGAGGCCTATTTTGTTGCAAATCAATGATCTCTCTTGCAATGGCAAACTTCTGAGCCTCTGGAGAAAGTGTCAAGGCATCCTTCAAGGCCAGGCCCTCTGGGCTTGTCCAGTCCACTTTCTTGCCTCTAAGGTGAACACCTATCTTGGTAATCTGCTGTTCGCCACCGGATCTATTACTGAAATGATATGGGATGCCCACCATGCAGCCTTTGGCTCTCCATGGTAGACCAGCGCTTACAGGGTGCAATGTGCAAGTCTTAATGGCATCGTAACGATCTGCTGATTTCACTTTGACATCCTGGAGGATGTTATAGAACAGGTTCTGCAAGTCTTCTGAAAGCTCCAATGGCTTTCCATGGTTCCAAGCCTGATATAGTGATTTGAACAACTCCTTTGAGAAGACGTGGAAAGTCAAGTTGGCACCAAACAATCCAGCACAAGAAATGGACAAAAAAGCAGTCCTGTGTTTCTCCATTATAGAGACTGCCTTCCATAGAGAATGAAATGCCATGTTCAACTTCCAGCCAGATTCTGTTCAAGAAGGAATATATCTGCACAAAAAGAAAAATCTTAGTGATTAAGTGGAATTACGTTAAACCAGACATGTTAAACACAAGGCCCGGGGGCCGGATGCGGCCCGCGAAGTGGTTTCATATGGCCCGCAAAGCCATCCTGGAAACAGTGAGGGAACGGCCCCCGCTGCCTTGCCCCTGGCCCAGGCCGGCCGGGAGCCAATGTACAATTTTGTGGTGGCCATCTATGCTGAAATGCATTCAGTCTTAGCTCCACAAGGCCATCTAGAAACAGTGAGGAACCATCCCGCTATGTCGGCTCTGCCCCCTGGGTGCATGCTGGGGAGGTGTCACCCTTTGTGAGGAATGAAGAAATGGACCATGCCTTGGCGCTTGCCCCGGTCCCACCCCCTTCTGCCAGAGACCCTCAGATCTGTCCCACTCCTGCCCAGGCCCCCACAGGCCCCCTTGACGCGAACGATGTAGAGCTGGCCAGGCCCACCCAGTAGGCCACACACACTCCATCCACGCCCACCCAGTAGGCTGCACCCACCCTGGCCACAGCCCCCCAGCCCCCCGAGGGCAACCGCAATGCTGATGCGGCCCTCAGTGAAATTGAGTTTGACACCCCTGCTTTAAACGGATAGAGCAATAACACTGTATTCAATAACCAGAAAGGAACTGCAGGAGTATAGTAATGAAGCACAACTTTTCATGCTGTTACCAAAGCCACATTTTTTCCAACAGCAAAGAGGGCATGCATACATGTGCATAAGGAAACAGCCTGAAGCAGCTTTTGGAGCAGAATTTGGAAAAAGATATGGCTAGAAAAAGGCATGGGCTAAAAGAGGGGCTTCATAATTACCCTGACATATAGCCTTAATCTCCTATTTATATTATAATTTTGTACAGATAGTCTTTGACTTATGACCACAGTTGGGACCAGAATTTCTTTGCTAAGCCAGGTGGTTATTAAGTGAATTGTGCTCAACTTTACAATCCTTTTTCCACAATTGTTAAAAAAATCACTGCACAATTCTTAAGTGAATCGCTTAAGCAAATCCAATTTCCTCCATTGATTTTGCTTGTCAGAAGCCAGTTGGGGAGGTCACAGATAGTGATTACATAACCCCAGGGTGCTGCAACCATCAAATACACACTGGTTGCCAAGCACCCAAGTTCTGATCACATGACCATAGGGATGCTGCAGCGGTCATAGATAGTTATAAGTCAATTTTTTCAATGCTATTGTAACTTCAAACAGTTGCTAAATGAATGATTGTAAGTCAAGGACTACTTATATAATGATGATTCAAGACAGCTGTCCAAATCAGTCAGGGATGGAAAATGTTTTACCTTGATATAGTCACAACTGGAATGCAGATGCTCTTATATATGCAATTTACAATGAGAGGCAAATTCCCATTCCATGATGATCAGAAAGCAGTGTCTCTGTGTATCTGTGAAGGTAACTTCTGATGGACTGCAATGAAAGCAGAGAATTGAAACGCTTTGTGTACAAGCTGTTCTCTGGGAACAACAATGGAAGGCAAGTCAATTGCCCAAAAACATGTCTAGTTTGTGCTTACAAACACAAATTATAGTCACAGAAAGCCAAGAGAATTACTTCCTTTTCTAGATGCATAGTCTATACTGTATAGATGTGATTATTAAAGTTAATATAACTGGAATTAGTGGAATAGTGATAAAAAAATGGATTCTGATTCCACTTGACAGTCAGCCATTAAAATATTAATGTTGGGTTAATTTCTTATTTTACAATTTATGCCTCACATGGTTGTGTTTATAAGCAATGCCCTGAATCATCAAAAGACTCTCTCTCTCTCTCTCTCCCTCCCTCTCCCTCTCCCTATATATGTATGTGTGTGTGTGTGTATACAACACACATACATGCAAATAATTACTATTCATTCTCAATTTTACCTTTTTGTTAGAGAAGCTAATCTGACAGGCATTATTCTATTGCATTTGTTGAGTTCTTTCTCTATCAGTCTTACCATTCTTTTCAGCCCTGTGTTTTTGACTAGTTTTTTTAAATTAAATTGATCATCGTGATGAGAAAAAGCAATACAAAGGGCAGCTGCACTACAGATGACTCTTTCTGAATAGCAATATAGTAAAGTAAGTAGATAAATCACAGGATCAATTAGTCAAAGAAGGTCAGAAGAAATACAATTCATTGGGGCATTGCCACCACAGCAAGGAAGCTGCTTCACTTTCTGTTCAAATACCAAGCAACAATAAGTTTAAAATAGCTTAAAAGCCTTAAAGCACATACATATATCTGTACAATGCTGCAACGATGCATAAAGTATGTCAGCCTCAACCCTTTTTTTTTTTTTTTCCTTTTTGGCTAGAACAGCAACTCTGGGCTAATTCCAGATCGCATAACTAGTCTGTAGTTCATAGACTGATAGCACAATTCAAGGACCTCCTTATTGAAATAAACTTTGCATTTAATTATCGTGTACTTTATTCATATTTCACCCTCTTTGGCTTTGTAAGTCACTATACAACTCTTGACTGGGAATCGGGCGGCATAAATTATAAAAATTATTATCCTCAACTCAATATAAAGCATTGTACCGCCATTAAGAACCCCATTCAGAGCTAATTTCCAGTCCATTCCACCCATCAGATAGATAGATAGATAGATAGATAGATAGATAGATAGATAGATAGATAACCTTTGTTATTTTTTATTGTGGGCACAATGGCACACATTAAAAATGAAATTTAGTTCCTTGCTCTCAAAGTGTACACATACATAACACACATTTAAACATACTATATACAACATATGTATAGATCAAGCTTTTCCCTTTCTAAATATCCGACTTTATACAGAACACAGAAAAGGCCTTTCACTTTGGCTTACCCTATCGCCTCCCAATTGGGTTATTTATCGTTTAATCTGAAAACCAAGACGCGTACACATAATATACCTAGGCGGGCACGGAAAGACTCGGTTCCTACATTAGCGTGCAATTCAACGGAGAGGAACTGCCCAGAATCCCGCTTTTACCTTTCAATAGCCTCTGCGCCAGGAGGAGAGGTGGGGGGGAAACAACACGTGAAAGCCATAAAGCAGGTGAGCTGCCGCAAAAACCGAGTGCCGCAACGCAGAGAGGGACTGACGTCATGGCAGAAGCTCGGAGTTGCTATGGCGACGAGGAAGTCTTTATATTCTGGCGCAAGGTCACTTCTTGCTCCGGGGCTTTCTCTAGTTCGGGGGTGGGGAACGTGGGGGGGGGGCTTTTATGACTTTTATGATTCTGGGAGTTGAAGTCCACAAGTCGTAAAAGGGCCCTCGTTCCCCACCTCTGCTCTTAGTAGGACTTTGCGTTGCTTTTGTTGTTTTTTTTCTTTCTCCGCTCAGAGCTCGTTTTCTGGCTCCTAAGACCCAGCCTTCGGAAACTTAAAGTGAGGAGTCAGACAGACCTAAAACCTAGTAGTGCAGTGTTTCTCAACCTTGACAATTTCCCAGAATTCCACAGCCAGCATTGCTGGCTGTGGAATTCTGGGAGTTGAAGTCCACATGCCTTAAAATTGTCAAGGTTGAGAAACACTGTAGTAGTGTCTTCTGGAGAAAGAAAGAATGAGGATGAGGATGGGAGGAAGAAAGGAAAAAACTGCGTCTGCGAATATCATTTAGGACCACTGGTGTCTTTTAGGTGGAAACCACCTCTGACAGTTCCCAGAGATTCCTGCACTTTAAATTTATTTCCTGTCTGGGGATTCCTATCTACACACCATCCGTAATGATCTGCAAACATATGTTATATTTAATATAATTGTGTCTTAGAGGTGAAGGGAGCCAAAGGCAGCTGTTAAGTTGGCAGGGAATGTGGCTTGGGGAAAAAAATGGCCTGCCCTTGCCTACTCTGGACAGCTGTGGAAATGGCCAGATGCCTTGGAGGGAGTAAAGGACTCTTATAGCACAGAAAGGCTGGAATGAGACTCCCTTGCTGGAGGGATCGTAAGAGGAAGTCCCACCCAAAGAGTCCTTGGCAAGCCCATCGATTTTGTATTTTCACTAGCTATGTGATTAGTATTTTATATTGGAAATGGGAATGATCCAGGGTCCTTGCTATATTGCAACTAGATCATGTCATCGAACATTGGAGTGTGTGTGTGTGTGTTTGCATGCTGCTTTGAGTTACAGCTGCGGATACAGTTCTCTACACTTGCTGTTAAGACAGAAGTTCTGCTGCTGTGTTTTTAAAATATTCAAAAGCAAACAATGGAATCATCTTTTCAATGTTGTTTTAATCAAGGAAAAAACAAGATAAATGTATGCTTTCTCTGCACTTCCTATCTCTTTTAAAGTATTGTTTTGGATTATATATCAAAATGCTTCAGCATATGCACATACACACAACCACACTGGCTGTGTTTACTCACTTGGGCTGAGCCAAAAAATGATTTGCTTGGCTTTAGTATAGTGTGTGTGTGTGTGTGTGTATAGATGGGTAGATAGATTGATTTTGTGGTTTGTAAACCATGGATTTCTCTCCCCTACTTCATAATTAACACTAATCCCAGAGCACTGTAGCAATATATATGGAACTGACCAGTATATCTAACCAATAGCACATTTTTCATAATAATCCAAGAGTCGCATGGTGCTCTCTTATCATGGTTGATATTTTGCTTTGTTTTTAAATGTTTATTGGCATTGTTGTATAATATTCTAATGTGAAAGAGGATTGCTAACTAAGAAAATGCAGATGATTTAAGTTACAAAGTGATGCATGTATTTATTTTTTTATTAGATCAGAGCAAATTGGTTACTATTTTTGGAACTGTTGCATTTGTGGTTTGAGGCTTAAATGGCAGGGGTTTACTTGAGAAGGCATTTGGCCCCCTTAACATTGTTTTCTCCCCCTACCCAACTCTTTGCAATCATATGCAGCATTAATACTTGGCAAGGATCACCTCCTTCCCCTTCTTGATCTGATCATTGCTTTCTGAATAATCCCCTATTGGGGATTATTAAAAATGGCAGCTAGTCACCACTCCATCCTCTTTCTTATTCTGCCTTTGCCACAATTTGTTTTCAAAAGGGGGTACAAAGATTAAAACTTCATCTGGCTACAGTGCAGATGGAGCAGCAAGGCCATCCCAGAAGAAAAGGTGGAAATGGAATAGAATAAATGAAAAGGTAGGATGAATGCAGGAGTTCCTGCCAATGAGAAACCATAACTCCAGAGGAAATTCAGCAAAACCGCCTTTGCAGTGTTTCTTCTGAGACTGAAAGCAAGTTAATAATTAATCAGCTCAGTGCTCCAAATCCCATGGAAATCACATCATTGGGACCGGTGCCACTTCTAGAAAGAGATTTGAATGGAGAAGAATGGAAAGATTGGTAACTTAGATGAATTATTTCATTACTTAACAAAATTTAAAACCAAGTTTTGTTGTAATATCAGTGTATGATGGTTTGTTTGCCTAAGTTCTGGTACCTTAACTTTTTGGACAAACATATTTACAACAGATTTTTACTGTTCTGCAATGGAAGTAAGTGAAACTAAAATCTAGGACTGTTTTTCCCCCCCACAGAGGCAACTGTGGAGAAAAAACAGACCTGGATTTTAGTTTCAGATGTTTCTGTGCATGAGGATAATCATCATCATTTATTTCCCACCACCTATAGCCTCATGTTCTGAACATGTAGGTATCATATAGCCATTACATTTACAAATAAATTTCTTGTAAAGTTATCTCATCTAGTAGCAATGACAATTTCTGACTGCAAAAGGTTTTATGATTTGGGAATGAGTACCTGAAAATATTATTACAATTTACTTTTAGATTAGCCTGCTAGATGGTGCTATAGGACATATTCTGAATTAATTCCAATTTAACAATTTATTGTGCTTCATTGGAAGCAAACTAAAAGTAAAATTATACATGATTTTCATTTGTTTCAATTCTAGGTTTTTTTTAACACAATACTTTGTTTCCTGTCAAATTGGAATGATGGAATGGAAAAAATGCTTGTGTACAAGGTATTTTTTCCCAACTGTTCCATTTCTTTAGAATAATGCTTAATTCATTTCTTTGAATATTTTAAAATATACTTTCACAGTAGTGATGGGATAAGGAAATTGAATACAGAAGGATTTCATTTTTCCCATTCTCCCCCTTTCCTATAGAATGAAAATTAGAACATCTGTTTGGTCTCATGATTAAGGCACCTGGCTAGAAACCAGAAGACCATGAGTTCTAGTCCTACCTTTGGCATGAAAACTGGTTCGGTGGCTTTGAGCCAGCCATTCTCTCTCACCCAACACATCTCATGATTGATTCATTGATTGATTTAATATGCTGTCCATCTCACTATTCAAAGAGACTCTGAGGGGATTAAATATAGTAAAAATAGAGATATAAAAGGAATTAGAAATATAAAAACAGTTTAAAATTGCAAAAGGTTAAATATAGAGTAAACAC